TGGGGGGGGGGGGGGGGTGGGAGAAATAGAGGGTGTGGAGTGGAAGGAAGTGGACAGGGGCAGGAGGTGATCATGTAGCAAAAGGTGAATACACACATCAACATGAGGATGAATGACTTTTCATGCTGCATGTGAAACATGCTCACCATGTACTAGTCAGCATCTTTTCTGTTCTCAATGAATCAGACATCTGTGTAATCATAAGTTAGAGCAAATCCATTACTCATAATCAGCAAGGGACAAGGAAAGTAAAGGATTCATTATCACCTAATCCTCCAGGTTCTGAGAAGTTGCCAGGGTTGGACATAATCTTATCCTTTCATTTTCTGCTTGCACTGAAACGCAGTGAACTCATACTAGAATAACAGGAAATAACATGCTAGATATCTGAAAGAAATCCAGTACTAAGGAAAAGACAGAGCCTGGGATCTTTAAACCTGTTTCTTTCTTAGTGTTTCATTCCCTGTATCCTGACTATTCTACAATTATTTTTGAGAGTTACAAAAGAGAAAGCAAGGTGACAGAAGTGAGTTCAATGATCTATAGACAAAAGATATCACTAAGATGTACTTAAAACATAATATTAAAATTTAAGAGGAGGGTACAAGCAATTTGTATGTTCCTGTGGCTACAGACCAAGCAAACATGGACAGTTAAGTAGATATCTACGTGTTCAATTAGTTGAGCTTACAAGGAACAGTGACACACAGAAGGTAATACTTTCCATCTGATATCAGAAGACCACATGCATGTGGCAGTCACACTTCTAGCAATGAACTTAAAATTGGGGAGTAAGATAGAACAAAATGTTTACATTGTATAAGGCACCCTGTGCTGATTGACTAACCTTAAATGATTATATGTTCAAGAAAGAAAGAGGCTTGAAGAACATTAATTCAATGTTATTTTTTTAAAACATTTTTTATATTATTTCCTTTAAAAATTGTGTTTATCTCTGTGTGTGGTGTATTCAATGTGTGTGTGTGTGTGTGTGTGTGTGTGTGTGTGCCTGCACTTATGTGCACACGTGGAGGCCAGTGATTGATTACAAGTGTTTTTCTCTATACTATTCCCCTTAGATAAAGTCTTCCCCTGAACCCAGAGCTCAGTACTTTGGCTAGACTTGCTGGCTGATGAGCCCTGGGACCTACCTTTCTGCTCACTACTGCCAATAAATGCTTTAGGTGCCAATGTAGAAATTTTTCTTCAATGAAAGTATGGAAAGATGGTGGGTACACCTGTCCTCTTAGCTAGTGTGAGCAGTTGTTTGCCATGGTATGCAACCCAAATCTTTACCAGAAAATGGGACATGTAGCTCAAAGACAGCAACTTTAAGTGATGTTCCTAATTATCTTTCACAGGTATAATAGAATGTAGAGGTATAGAATGGCCAGGCAAGATTTTACCACTATTCAGTTAGATGTATTTTGCTTTCCTTCAGCACTAGTGGTCACACTCACATCTGGTTTTACTCTCACCATCAGATTCAATTTTCACGCGTAACAGACATGAGTATAACGTACTGAATCCACGTGCAATCCCAGAAAGTAGCTTTTCACTGAATAGTGATAATACTGATGGTGCTCTATTATATCTTGGCTGATTTTTATCTATTTCAGATGTCAGCACTGCTTTGTGATTTGTTTTTCACAAAACAGCAATCACTCAAAGACAGTTTCATGTTATTGGTCTCTCAATAGACTAAAACAGTGGCTCTCAACCTTCTTAATGCTGCAACTCTTTTATATAGTTCCTCAGGCTGTGCCAACCCCCCACAACTATAAATTACTGTCATTGCTACTTCATAACTAAGTTTACTACTGTTATGAATCATAATGTAAATATCCAGAATACAATGCCCCAAATCGTGACCCACAGGTTGAGAATCACTGCACTGAAAGATAAATTGAAGTATTTCTATCAGTAGTGACTGAATAAACTCTATACTGCTGAATGAATTGTCTATATTGGAGGCCATAAATGACCTTTCTGAAGAGGTTTCTGTAGTAAAACTGTTCCTTTTCAATCAAAGTATAACTATGCCCCTAACCAAGAAATTTTACCTACCATAATCCAAAATCTACATAGAAAAATTTTAAATTCTTGGAGAAAAAAAGACACTGATTTCCTTCTTTTTCCATTCCGTCTATCATAAAATTACTTTTTAAAGTAAATAAGTTGAGTTTTATGCTGCATACAGTGCAATGCCATTTGAAATTAGATTTTCTAAACATTGTCAAATGTAGGCTGAATCTCAGTCATTCCCTTTGCGGCAGAAACAACAACTAAGAAAGTATAAAACTTAATACATCTTTAAGATTTTCTTTCTTGGAATTGCATGACTACTTAATATACAGTTTAGCATTTAAATAAATTTAGTGTTAACTTTAAATCCTATGTCATCAATTCAAAACACTTCCCTTGGGGTCCTGGCATATAACTCATTGTGGAGCACTTGCCTAGCACTTACAAAGATGGGCATTGGAGGGAGGGACATTTAATCTATTGTTTATAATGAAAAATCTCCTTTTCTCTATAATTGCAAATCTGAATTAATGCAGATATGTATTGCAGCCTTAGGAGGAGCAGAAGTTGACAGAGCATATTGCAAATGTGGTTATTTTTCTGCCTTAAGGAAACACACTTACCATGTGCTCTTAAAGATTAAAGACATCAGGGAAGCTGAGAAAGCAGTATGCGGGAGATATTATAATCAGTCCCTCCCAGACTGTAACTGATGGGCGCAAACAATCAAAGTACCAAACAAAACAAAGCAACACAACAACGAAAACGACAAAGCCAAAACCTCAAGGTTGATGTAGATTTTTCTGAATGGTTCTTGGAAGTGCTAAGATGTCATCTCTTATTGCATCAAATGCCATGAATAACTATTCCTTAAAACTGCCTTGAGTGCATTTCATTCATGAAAATTTATGTAGCCAAAAGCAAGCAGTACCTGACCTGTTATATTTCCCTCCTTGTCTCCAAATGTTTTAATCTAAAGTATCCCACCAAATTCTTCTTTCTTTCCTCTCTTGTTTTCTCACTTCTGCTTTAACTATCCTTTAAAACAAAACATGGCTGTGCCACAACCCCAGTATTTTCATGTAGCAAGTCTTGGTAGAGTGTATGTTTATGGGTGGCTAAGATAAATTTTTAATGCTTTCTTATATCCAGTACCTTATGCCTCTGTGTTATAAGATACATGACCTATGCTATATTATACATGCTTTTGTATATATCTGTTGTACCTCTGATGAATAGCACTGATTAGCAATAGGG